TCTCAGTGGTGACCGTACGTAGAGCTACGTCCGGTCACCGGATCAAATAAAAGTTCTAAGAAGGGAGAGATTTCATATATATATATATATATATAAAGATGCAATGAGTAACATTTTAGGTTTTGGCTTCATTTGGGACAACTTTTTTTGCCTCTCGACGAATTAATTTTTAAGTATAAAATTTCTTTAAAAACTGTTTTAGACAGTAATAATGTTGTCTTAAACAAATCCTTTGTTTGAATAGAAATGCACAAATAAATTCATTTGAAAGTCAAAAAAAAAAGTGAGATCCGAAAAATGTTTGAGTTGGCTTGAAAACTCGTAGGCTTCGTTTGGGATAGCTTTCTTACTGCTTTCTAATTAGCTTTTTAGTTAAAAAAATTATACTAAAAATTTATTTTAAAAAATATTAAGATAGCTATTCCAAACGAAACCTTACAAATGCCAGTATATTTTGTTATATATATATATATATAAATGAGGAAGAATGTATTGATAATAAGCATGTTTGATGTTTGTGGCAAACACTTGATTCATTGATTTCTTGAGTTTGTAATGTTGCCGGCCTTAGCCGGCTACAGTTTTGAAAGAGGTTTATTAAAAGAAAATACGAGTAAAAAAAAAAAAAACAAGTATGGGCCATGGCTTCTATTGTATTTAATAAAAGGAAGATTACAACTAGCCAAGTTATCAAATAAGCACAGAGAAATTAGCAAGGCTGCAGCCTCGAAGCTCTGCTCTCCATATCTTTCCCTATGGGCTCCAATACCAGCATCTGCTGTGGATCGAAGACCAAAAAACAGTATCATTCTCTCTCTCTCTCTCTCTCTCTCTCTCTCTCTCTCTGAATTATTATGTCCGGCGTTCGAATCGTCCGGAGGCAAATTCGGACGCGTCACGTCACCCACCCGGATGCACGGGTCCAAGTGACATGGCGCATCCGGATTCGGCGGGACGCGCCTCCAGATGAATCTGGACGCCGGAAGTAATAATTTTTCTCTCTCTCTTCATTTCAATGTTTTTTTTGTTGGGTTAATAGGTTTGTGAGTGGAGGGGAACAGAGCTCGACATGGAGGTTGTTTACTTATAAGGAGCTTCATGCGGCCACTAATGGATTCAGCGAGGAGTATAAGCTTGGAGAGGGAGGGTTTGGCACTGTGTATTGGGGGAAGACTACTGATGGCCATCAGGTAATTTTTTAAAAAAAAAACAATTTAAATACATTTAAATGAGCATATTTTAAGTAAAATTAGAGCATAGTGATGATTTTACTTATGCATCTAACATTATCTTCACAATTAGGGTCTGTTTGCGGCAGCTTTAGCCTTTTATAGAGCTATTTGCTAAGCTGATATGAGAAAAATAACATGATTGAAAGTTGTTGCGGGTATTATAAATATCTTCTATTTTGAAAATTAGGCAGTAGTTTTCTCGCAACTTCTACGCTTGAGTTGATATGGTTGTAAAAAATGGCTTTTCATCATAATTTTTTTTAAACAACAAGAAAAAAACGGGTCCAAAAAGCAAAATTGTCGCTCAGAAAGCTGCCCTTTGTATAATATAAGATTAATTATTCTATGCGGATGCCGAACACCGCTCGAAGACCAACCAGAATGCGCCATGTCGCCCCTTCACTCAGTACCGCGGCTCGGTACCGTTAACGTGACGCATTTTGATTGATCTCCTGACATAGAGCTGCATCCAGCCTCTGCACAGAATAATTTCTCTAAAGCCATAGATTTTGAACTACACACACAAAACCCTAAACTAGTATAATTAGTTTGTTAATTTTTGTGATAATTTAATCATTTGTAATGATGCGAGAAATTTTTTAAAGATGTAACCATTTAAATTTTATAAATTAGCTTAGATTCCTTTCAGGTAAAGTAGTTAAAAATTAAGAATTTGTTGGATTGGATGAATTAGATTTACAATTTTCTTCATCAACATTATTTGAATATAATTAGTGCAATAAAATACTAAAACAATTACATTTTGCAATTATTCTCAGATTGCTGTGAAAAAACTGAAAACTATAAATTCGAAAGCTGAAATGGAATTTGCTGTGGAAGTTGAGATACTGGGAAGAGTGAGGCATAAGAACCTGTTGGGGCTTCGAGGATACTGTGCTGGAGCAAATCAGAGGCTGATTGTGTACGATTATATGCCCAATCTCAGCTTATTGTCTCATCTTCATGGACAATTCACAGGCGAAATGCGACTGAACTGGAAGAAAAGGATTAATATTATTATGGGATCTGCTGAAGCACTTGTGTAAGTTCTTTTCATCCTCATTTCTCTCTCTCTCTTTAATTTAAGTTCTTATGAAGAATTGCGTTAAAATTTGACATTAAGGTTTCGATTGCGATGAATGACTTTTTTGTTGCTTCATAAATCAGTTTTTTAGTATAAAAATTTTAATTTTTGTACTATGAAGTTGCTTTAAGAAGCAGCAAGAAAGCCGGTCCAAACGAAGCCTAAGTAGGGGTGTAAGTGAGCCAAGCAGCTCACGAGCTGCACGAGCTCACGAATCACGAGTTCAGCTTATTGAACCACGAGCTCGAACTCAAGCTCAACATCGCTCGGCTTGTAAATTTGTTAAGTTGGTCGATTAACTTAAAATATAATTAAAAATTAATTTTAAATTAGCATTATATAATATATTTTTATTTTTTAAAAAATTATTTCTATATTGAAATTAAAACTAGGAAATTGAAAATTTTAATTAAAAACTAAGAAATTGAGCTCAATAATCAAGTCGAGCTAGAGTTTTACAACTGAGCTCGAGCTGAAAATTTTTTAACAAGTCATGCTCGAGCTCAGTAATAACCTTGAGCTCACGTTCGAGCTTAATTTGATAAAGCAGATACTTAACTAGACTCGACCCGACTTACACATATAGCATTTACATTGTAGATTAATAAACAAATAGGAACCATAGAGTACAATTAAAATAGTTGGTGAGGGTCAAAAGAATAATGATGATGATAGTAATAAATATTCCTTCTTTACATCGCAACCAAGAAATAAATAAGACTTTACATATAAGATCAAAAATTTTGTTGAAAAAAAAATATTATTATTTTTGTTATTTGTGTTCAGCTTGATACCTTGCATTGGATTTAGCAAGAAAAATTTTCACACTACATAAATATGACAAAATGTCACATTAGACCAAGTTTATTTTTAAAATTACAAAAAAAGGACCTTCACATGGCATCAATTCACACTAAAAGCTTAGACATATGTGCCAAAATCAAATTTTTATTATAAAAAAATTTGACTTAATAAAAAATCATTCATATTTTATGTAACACTTGTCTGTGCTTCCATCTATTTTTTTTTTCTTGTTTCTTTGCTCTAATTACAAAAAAATAATTAATAATACAAGCTCTATAAAATGAATTTTTATTAGGCCTGGTGTCCTGACGTAGATCTACGTTCGTAAGCCAGTAAAATGGTGCCACATGCTCTTACTCTTTACCGTGCGGCCCGACGACCCGACCCGGACCGAACTCGGGATTGTTATGTATTGGTTGATTTGTGCAGACCGGGGTATTGCTAGGTATTGTTTGATACTACTCGGCAATAACGAGAAATACCATTATGTCAAAACCAATAGCTAGCAATACCCCGGTTTTACTAGGTATTGCTAGGTATTGCTCGGTATTGCTATGTATTTGTATTGACATAGCGGTACTTCTCGTTATTGTCAAACTACCTAGCAATACCTAGTAATACCGAGCAATACCCGAACATAGCAGTATTGGGTTCCGGTTCAGGTCGGGTCGTCAGGCCACACGATAAAGAGTAAGAGCACGTGGCGATATATTATTGGCCTCCGGATGTAGAGCTACATCGTATTGCAAGGTATTGCTCGATATTGCTCGGTATTGCTATGTATTTGTCTTGACATAGCGGTACTTCTCGTTATTGTCAAACAGTACCTAGCAATACCTAGTAATACCGAGCAATACCCGAACATAGCAGTATTGGGTTCCGGTTCAGGTCGGGTCGTCAGGCCACACGATAAAGAGTAAGAGCACGTGGCGATATATTATTGGCCTCCGGATGTAGAGCTACATCCGATGTTGTCTTGACCTAATACTTGTTCCTATACAACCTTTCAAAAAGGTTAGTAGGAGGAAATTCATGTATCATATTCTATTTCAAATTTGTTCAAAATAATTTTTCAACTAATAAATTTCATACATAAATATAATACATAATTATTTAATTAACTTTAATATTATATACGTGGCGATAGAGTCAAAATTTTACGTTTCAACATTGTGTGGTTATCCAACACAAACAACATAAGATTTTTTCCATGAAAAATCCAAAAAAGGTGAAAAACTATGGGGCTCCACCCAGTTCAAACGATTCCAATTTCTCTTCGATCGTTTTTTTTTTTTTTTAGTTTTATGAAAACTCAATCGAACTGAAAGCTCTGAATCATAATTCTGCAATGAAATGTTGTTCTTGTGATGAATTTGATGACAGGTACCTGCATCACGAAGTGACGCCGCACATCATCCACCGCGACATCAAAGCCAGCAACGTCCTCCTCGACTCCAATTTCGAACCACTGGTGGCCGATTTCGGATTCGCGAAGCTCATCCCTGAAGGCGTGAGCCACATGACCACCCGCGTCAAAGGAACCCTAGGTTACCTCGCCCCTGAATACGCAATGTGGGGCAAGGTATCTGAAAGCTGCGACGTCTACAGCTTCGGCATTCTCCTCCTCGAAATCGTCACCGGACGTAAACCCATCGAACGTCTTCCCGGCGGCGTCAAGCGCACGATCACCGAATGGGTCGATCCGTTCATCGCAACCGATCAACTCTCCAATCTCGTGGACCACCGGCTCCAGGGACAGTACGACGATTTCCAGCTCCGCCGAATCCTCCACGCCGCGGCCCGATGCGTTCAGTCGGAGCCCGATCGCCGGCCATCCATGCGGAAGGTCCTCGCGATCTTGCAGGGGAATGCCGCCGCCGCCGATCCGGTCAAGAACCGCAAGCTCGCGGACGATTTCGCGGAAAAGGATGCGTCGAGTCAGGCGATTAGTGACGTGGTTGCCCCAGGTATGATTAGAATCAAGAGCGTCAAGTATCAGGAGGAGCTGATGGCTATGGATGACGAAGGAGGGGAAGAAGGGGAGGAGGATCTTGAGTTGACGAGGAGCGGGAGCGATGGGGCCAGCGTGTACGGGGTCTTTGGGGCCATTGAGGTGCAGAGAGTCAGCCATGGATATGGTCAGCAGGTTGTTAGTAGGAGGACTGCATTGCGCGGGTGAGTGATTAGGGTTTTGTTTGGTTGGCTGCAGCCTCTGTAAAGGTGGAAGACAACTTTTCTTAAAGATATTTTGAGCTTCATAATTTTTTTTTTTTTAAATAAAAATAGTTTCTCATCACAAAAATTTTGATAAATCATAATGAAGTAGTGAAAAAGTTGTTCCAAATCGACCATTAGATTTCATTTGGAATAATTTTTTTATTGTTTTATAAAAACAGTTTTTTAGTACAAAATTTTTTTGAATTTAAAACTTTCGTACTGAAAAATTATTTCATAAAGCAGTAAGAAAGTTATCCGAAACAAATTCTTAATTTTTAGAGTAATAAATGCTTTGGATTTTGAGAAGATGATCTTATTTATATATTAAGAAAATTAATTGGTTGTTTTTGCTTTTTCTTTTTTATGTGATTTAAAAGAGGATCATTGTAATGCCTCAAATCATATCATGGAATATATTGTTTGTTGATAAATATGATTCTTTATTTTGTCGTTAGCATTGTGGGCTGGTGCTCTAGTTTGAACTCGAGCTCGATCAGGTTGGGCTGTGGAGCTGGTGGAGATCATTGTATTTCTCAATAATATATTTTTAAATTTGAAAATAAATTATGATAGAATATGACGATATAAATTATATTATTATGAGTTTAAAAAACATTAGATTTGCTTTAAGATTAGTGTTGTATAAGAAAATTAATGATGTTTGACCTAATATTTTTCCTTTGTTTTTTGAGTTGAAGAACAACTTTTATATATCCCAAACAAAATTTTTTCTTAAATTACTAAGAATATCTACTTTCTTGAATTTAAAGAATTTTAAATTATATGAAATTGATATATGAAATAATTTGATTAATTATGTTTTTGCATGTTGAACTAAGTTCTCTATATCTTAGTTCTTGCCTGTAAAAATTTGAAATAAACAATTTGTTTAAATTGCAAATAAAATTATTCAATTTTTTGCATTACATATAAGATAATCATGTTGATTTCTTATTTTTTCAATTAATAATTTATTGAGTTCTACAAATTTGGATTTTTAGCATAAGATAGCATAGGATAAGTCAATAATCACAGGGTTAATTACATATATCTCATAAGAATTTTTAGTATTTACAAAGGTACCTATGGATGACACAACCCATGGTTGCTGACAGTGGTCCTTCTGTTAGGTTGGGTTGACTACCTCCTCTGACTAAGTAGACCAGGGAGCACGATGGCCCGGGACTATAGAACAATGGGATCTTGATCTGACTTATCATCACTCCCCTAATGATCTGCTTTAAGTGTAAAATCGTGAAATTTCTATTTTTAAATATCAAATTTTCAAACCCCCAAACCTATTATGCTATTAAAGGTTGGATATCACGTATTTACGAATACAACATATTCATTAGATGATTAGCCTTAATCGAAAGTTCTCTTTCATGATTAGGAGGGATAATTAAATATAGGGGCTTGCGCCTATAGGAAACCAGAACTCATATTATAAAGTCCTCGCAAAATGAGGGTGAAATCTCTTGGTAGTGACTTATCTATAAACCCAATATGTCTTCTGAAAATTTACCCCAAAACTTAATCTGTTAAAACTCCCCCCTAAAGCAAAGCAGGGAAGGCCAGGGCACGATTTTTCAGAGCCCACAAGGATAAAGATTTATTATTGTTGCAGTCAAATAATTCTAATAATTTTTATCGTGGCATGCACAATCACATAAGTTCAATAGTTCAGTAAATTGATATTGGTATTAGTTTTATAAATAGAAAAGTTTTGAATGCTACTTATATAATTCTCATATAATTTGCATCAATAAAATATAATCATGCATATGACATGTCAAGTAATACAAATATGCCTTTTAAAAACAATTACAACAAAGGGAGATTTACATACACAACACTCAGATTTATCCTATTTACATCCTTAATCTTCAAATTTTTCTCTTTATTTACATAACACTAAACTTACTAGAATTAATGAAATTTCATGCTATAAATCAAATAAGAAACTAAAAACTCAAATTCTCAATGATAGATAAGGTTATCAAATGATGGAATAATAATATAATAACCCAAATGCTTTATTTTTTTTATTATGAACATAACATTGACTAAAATGCAAAGCTAAAGTATGATAAAATAATATTATAAGAAGCTTTTGTCACATATGCATATGCAATATTATGCATTTAATGAATGCATAGATACATACATACAAATTTTTTATATAACTATTATATGCATATGTAGAATTTTATGATACATCTTCAAGTTTTATTTAAAAATAATATTAGAGAAAAATCAAGAAAAATATAGAGAAACTCATAATGATTTGTTTCAAAATCTTCAAACTCTATGCATAATATATTGATTATTTGCACTTATTTGTTGAAGTATTGAAGTTTTTTTTAGTATATCACCTGAAAAAAATTGAATAAATTTATAATTTAAGCCATGAGTTGGATTGAGATAAGAAAAAAAATGGTAGAAAAATAATTATAAAATTGATGGTGACATATATAAATTTTGTTTTGGAATGGTGACTTATATCATTTTTTTTCCAATCATCTAATTAGGCATTCCAATTGTCTCTACTAAGTGAAAACATCTAAGATGAATTTTTAGAGATTATAAATTTATATTCATAATATTTTAATTTATTTTGTATAGGGAAAAAAGTTTCAAATTAAGTCTATAAATTTATATTGAGATTAATATAATTCAAAAATTTTAGTTTACTATTAATTTAACATAAATTCAAACATTTAAATTTTATCTAAGATATAATATAACTTTTTTATTTAAATTAGGGGTGTTAAAATGGTTAATCAGTAAGATAAGATCTGGGTTGAAACTGACCTCATTTGATTTTGATCGATTTAATTGACCTATATAATAAAAGAGCCAAATAGTGGACTCACTTTTATTTAAAAAAAATTGTAACTTTCAACTACATAGTTTATGTTAGTTGATAAAAAATAAGAAGTCCATATCAACAAAAAAAAAAAATAAAAAAAAAAAAAGAATCATTTCATGTCAAAATCAATGGCTCAATTCAATTTATAAATTACAAAAATAATTTACAATAAATCTAATTTAAATGCTCCTCGAAATAACAAATTCAAAACTGCAATGACCTGCAAGGCTGCAATAAAACAGAATATAAAGATTGCAAACTATAATATGTATTATGTAATAATATATATTGCTCTGCTCAGATTAAACCCTCCAAATCATTAATTTCATAATGAGATCATTCATCATTGCTAACAAATTATCATCAAAGGTGACAATTTATAATAACTTAATATATGTTCTACTCAACTATTCTGCTAATCTACTCTTTTAGTCTTTCTAATTTCTAAGATAATATAAATATCACCTTGTTGTAAATTGTAATAGCACATAAGAAGTTACACTTATACACCTCCCAACGTCCAGCGCCCACTTGCATTTTAGAAGGTTAATCATCATTGCTTCATTGCTTATACGACTCCCAGCTCCTCAAATTTTCATATGAATTTCAACCTTTCAGGAAATAGAAAGCAGCAGCCGAATTGGCAATGAGGCAAACAACAACCAGAACTGAAATATAAACATAAAGTAGCAGCTAGTAACGACTTTATATGAAAAGCCTTAATTCATTTCAGTATCATTCAAACTGAAATAGCAAAAGAAAATAAAAAATATCAGCTATCATCATGAATAGGAGAATTTGTAAATCAAACAGCAGGTAGTTTTTATTTGCTAGCAACTTCACAATGCAGCTGAAATAAAATAGCAACCAAATATTATTTCAGAAACAAATGTTGTTTTAGTGTTTCACTAACCAAACAACAACTAAAAGTTGTTTAAGCAACCAAACAGCAACTAAAAGTTGTTTCAGCAACCAAACAGAACTAAATGTTGTTCCACCAGCCAAACAACCCTAATTCAACAACCAAACAACAACTAAATGTCCAACAGCCTTAGTTCTAACTTCACACATATCAATTAACAGAATATCTAAATTAAACAACAACCAAATATTATTTTAGCAACCAAACAACAACTTCATTATGCAGCATTTCAACAACCAAATATCCAACATACCAGTTCTAAGTTCTAACTTCACACATAACACTTAACAGAATATCTAAATTAAACAGCAACCAGAAGTCCAGTAGTCCAAATAAAAACAACAAACAAGTCCAACTAAAATGTTAACCACAGGTTCAACTGAAATGTTAAACAAGAATCATCTAATAACTGAACTTTCAGTCGGTTCTGCATCAGTTTGAGTGACATGTAAATCAATGATATCATCCGTAACAGCATCTAGTTCTGTGTCATGAACTACTGCAAAAAAAAAAAAAAAAATAGGAATTTGAGCTCTACCACTAAATGTGAAAAAATAAATAAATAAAAGAATGTTGAAGAATAAACCACCCTGTTATGCATACAACCAATCCTTTGCACAGACAAGCGCCTCAACAATATCATGTTTTAGTGAACTTCGATATTGATCTAGTATTCTACCGTTATTACTGAAAGCACTTTCTGATGCCATTATACTTATTGATCTAGTATTACTTCTTATTGGTAATCACTTACATATAGTCTTATATAGCACCATTCAACAAAAGCAAATTTGTATCGTGGATCTAAAATGACAGCTATAGCCAATATAACAGAAAATGTAGACCAATATTTCTCAAATTTGACTATCATTCATGTTGCCATTCTTTTGATGTATTCATGTACACCTAAGAGTTCATGTTTCAATGATGCATAAGCAGTAGAAACACAGAAAATATAAAATTGCAGTTGGGTATTTTGATCCAGATATAATACATGTTATCTCATAGAAAGGAGCCAAGAATTTGCAAATAGATTCAACTTTCTCTCACTCAACACTACTTGGGCAATTCCTATAATTTGAATCACCCAATTTTAAATGTTGAAAAGCTCGTTGATAGTAGATATCACTATCTAGCATGATAAAAGTGGAGTTCCATCTAGTTGGAATATTTTGTCACAAACCTCTCCTTCCATTTAGACAACTCTGTTTGATACAATCAAGAAACTTTTGCTTTCTCGCTTAAGAGACTTTTACATACTTAATACTCTCCTGGATTTTAATTATTGAAGCATCAACCTCCTTCAAACCATCTTGAACTATGAGATTAACAATATGTGCGGTACAACGAATATGAAATAACTCACCATCACAAAGCAAAGCACCACGTAAACATAAATGATTTCTTATAAATTCAACTGAGGTATTGTTTGCTGAAACATTATCCAAAGTAATGCTAAAAAGTTTGGTATCAATTTTCCACTCCATAACAAGAGACTGTAACTTTTCAAACAATGCAATGCCATCATGAGGGGGCAGCATGAAACCAAAGCTGATAATCTTTATTTGCAAATGCCAATCATTATCTATAAAATGCATTGTCAAACAAATAAACCCATATGTGTAAATAGAACTCAAAAGGTTCGATGTTAAGCACACCCTACTTCTCAATTTTGTTAAATGTGAACGTATATTACACTTCTCTTTACTAAATAATTTCATACAATCACTTCGTGCAGTGTTTCTTGAAAACAACCGCAAGTCCCGACAAAGATACGTTAGAAGAGCTCACACTCCAATCCACTCAACACACTGGAAGGGCAAGTCATGTATAATGATACATGCAACAAACAGGTCACGAAATTCTGACTAATCAAACTTACTATCAATCATAGAAATGGATGATTCAGAGTTTGTTTGTAAAATGAGTTGTCCAATATCACACATATTTCTCTTTTTACAATTTTCCAAGTGTCATCTTAGGTTAGCAGTGCCATTTTTACTATCACAGCAATATGTCACGCCACATTTCTTGCATTTGCACATTGGCTTACCATCTTTTGGCTTAGGCAACATCTCAAAGTAACCCCAAACAACTGAAGTCATTCTTCTATGCTTCTTAGCAACTTCACCTCCCTCATTACATTCAATGTTACATGCCTCAACCACATTTTCAGATGGCTCAACTTCTTCATTTTCATCAAAAAAAGCATTATCAGGAATGGTATTAGAGCCCACCATCTATCAAAAATATTAGAAGACATCTCAATGTAAATATTTAAATATTTCTTCATTTCTTGCATGTCAAATTTGAACAAAAAGATAGTAAACATGAAAATTTCTGATATGAGCTGAACTTAAACAGTAAAATTGTAAAAAATATTTTTATTCAACAGTCAACACTTGAACATCTAAAAGGGGCAGCTGTAGCAAAATGAAAAAAATTATGATGTCCTAACAAGTCAATGAGTCAATAACCAACAAACCAGTCAGGCAATCAGGCAGTCAATAACAAAAAAAGGAAAAAATACATGATGCCCTAACTGCCTCAGCCCTCAATGTTTCCAAAATATGCAAAAGGTTCAAACCAGACTAAGTAGGGACAAATCAGACAACAATAACAACATTTTAAACACCCTATCGAACAATATCCGTACAAAATAACCATTAATCAAATAAAATTTTAAAACCCTAGCTGAGAATAACCTAAAAGATAATTGAAACATGATACAAAACACAAACACATCATGGAACACATTCATCTTCTAAAAATCTTAGCACCTTAGCAGAAAAAATAGAGAATATGTGAAGAACAAAAAATCTGAACACCTTTGTCTTAAAAAATAACAAAAAATATTAATAAGAACGAGATACAAACAGATCAAAGAACGTCGGAAGTCGGAATCGAAACGTATGCGAGGACGGCGTGCTCCGGCACCGGAGAGATGGAGAGAAAGAGAGAAAAGAAACCCTAGACAGATCACAGAAGGCACAGACGGAACGAAATAATGAAATTATATGCTGCCCGCTCGAGTCTCCACTCTCCAACTCTCAACGCGGCTATTTACTCATAAAAGGTGGGGGTTAGGTTTGGGTTATCGGGTTAACCCGAACCCTTCCCGTTCTTTGAACGAGTCAACCATAACCGGAAATTTCGGGTCGGTTTCAGATCGGATTTTCGGGTCGGATCAAATGTTGTCAGCCTAATATATATGAAACTAATATTCAATATCTCTTAATTGATATACAAAATCCTCGAAAATAAAAAAAAATTATTTTGTGCGGAGGCTGGACGCAGAACATCGTCCGGAGACCAATCAAAATGCCCAACGTTAGCGGTACCGAGCCGCAATACCGAGGGAAAAAATGACATGACACATTATCTCAAAATTACATTAGTTAGGCCTCCGCACAAAATAATCACAAAAATAATATATAAAATTGAGATGCGTATTAGAATCAAATTGTCAAAATTTATTATGCATTAAAATTCGTGCATGAGCTGAGCTGAAAGATGCGACATCGTCATATACGTCGACGGCAGATTTTTGCATATATAAACCCTCAAAAAATGGTTCATTGAGAGATTTCTTGTTCTTCTCTTTCGATTTTGTGGCCATTTTGAGGTAAAAAATCTGCAGGGATTTTATCGTCCCCGACTGCGTTGTTCTGACAAGATTCAATATTTTTTTTTTATCTATTAGCAGCTCAATACTTTTTTCAGTTAGACCTTTTGCCCCTGTTATTTATCGAAGTAGTTCTGGAACGGAATTCTTCTGGCATTTCAATGAATTATTTCGGTCCACTTGATATTTCTTGTTTCATGGACGTATTTGCTTTGTAGGAGAACTTGGATTTAATCGAATTGATTGGTTTTTATTCATGTTTTCACCTTCCTTAGGAACACTTCGAAGGAGCTCCATTCATGGCTACTATAAGCGAGCAATAACTGACTGTTGATCACTTTTTACGAATTTGAGGTTGAAGTTGTCTTTTTGGTAGTGAGCGGATTAGCTCTTGAGTTTATTTACCATGGGCTTGTAGAATTTATAGCTTACATATGAAGGTTGCTCTGTGTCTTACGCTTCTACTTGCAACTTAGTAATTTTTATTTCTAGAGTTTCTTTATTCATTTTGATCACTTTGAAGGCGGGATCAATTTTTATTTTTGAATTCTACTTTTCTGCCTTTGTCAGTCCTAAAATTGCCTTAGATGAGATAGTTTGATCTCTCTGCTGACATTTCTAGTGCTCTTCAGTTCATGCCAAACAGGAGACTTGACTTGCTTGTTTTTTTAGTTATTTAAATTAGTTAAGACAGATAGATTTTCCAAACTTTTCTCACATGTTCATTTGTTTTGCTCAAACTTCTGTGTGATTGCTTTTTAATTGCGATTGAAAAGCTGATTATCTAGTGAGAATGGGCAAAGATTAGGTTAACTGAGTCTCACCTTGGGTTATAGACTCACATAAGTGCCCTCCTTGTGATAATGCCACATAAGCATCTCCAACCTCGACTCCACAATTTGTTGGAGCTTGATGCAGGAGCCTTGCCCTTTCTATGAAGTAGCTGAACTGTACTCTTCAAAACCTATGGAAACCTTAAATGCTATTTGATAGAAACTTTGAGTTTCATTGCTTTTCTTTGGGTTTATTTTATAGCTAGTCATATATATTTTTTTTCCTTTTGAATTTTTAACCGATCAGATTTCAATAGAATTTTTTAGTTTTAATGCTTTAATTCAGTTGGTTTTATAGTCACTTATATTTTTCCGTTTGAATTCGGAAAACCATCACATTTTGGAGCTGTTTTGCAATTCAGATGAACTGAAGTTCCATATCAATTTCACCTATTTCAAGTTCAATCATGACATCATTGGCGGCATACAATGGAGAGCAGATTGATCTCTTAGCTGCAGTTAATGATGACCATGGAGGTGTCATTGTAGAATTGAAAGCACCAATAGATCCAAGGGCTTTTGAAATGTCTCTAAAATTATCTATATGGAGTTGGAGGCAACAGGTGATAGTTCTTCCGATCATGGACTGTGTTTTATGGTGAATGCATTATCATCTTTAAACATGCTCTGAATTTATTTTTTTTGTTGAAGCAATTTTAAATTAATTTTAATGATTCATGTGCGTAAAGGCGATTTGTCACAAGATTAACTTTAATACAGAGGCCATATATTCCCTTATTTGATTTAGGAGAGAATTAGTCTTCGTTTGAGACATCTTTCTTATTGCTTTCTAAAACAGCGTTAAAAATTTTTGTACTAGAAAATTGCTTTAAGAAGCAGTAATAAAGCCGTCCCAAACGAAGCCATAGTTTGAGTTTCCAAATGAGATCACATCAATAACAAAAATGATGTTTTTTTTTTTTTGGGTAATGTTGTGTGGTTGCCTCTACTCTCATAGAGATGGGTAAGTGGCTTTGGAAGTGTATTCCGTATGATCTTGAAGCAGTCTAAGGAGTGAAAAGTAGGGTAGGGACATGACAGTTTCAAAAGCAACAAATTACCAAGCAAAGGGTTAGTTACTATCTTGCAAGGTGATTTTGAAGATCTGAAATTTATCTAGGGTTCTAACAAGCTATTTACAGAGAAGTTGATCTAGATGTAGTATATATAAAGGATAACTAGTTGAGGGCGTTATCATATTGGTGCATATCTTGAAAATTGTTCTATGTTTCCCTTTTCTTGCACTTTATGTTTGATGAGCTACACATATTCAATTAATTTACTTTTGGTTGCTAATGGTAACCATTTTCTTGTCAATTTGGGTATGGCTTCACCAAGAATTCAACTTTCTTTCATTTCAGGGAATAAAAGGTGTTTGGATAAAACTGCCAATTGAACTCGCCAGCCTTGTTCAAATTATTGTCAAGGTAATAGTTTTTATTCACCCGCTTCTGACATAATATTTCTCATCTCAAAGGTATAGAACGTGATCTACAAAAGAATTTAGTAATTCTGATGGTGTTTCTCAAAAAGAATGAAGCTATTTACATGGAAAATGACCTTTTATATTAGAACTGTCCTAGATGTGTTCATATTTTACTCATTTGTGCTAGGCTTTTGAATGTGAGAGTGCAATATACATGCGCAATTTTTATGTTGCTTATATCTTCAATTTTTAATATGGCATAAACACTAGAAAACTGTTTGTTGAAACCTTGGTGTCAAGTATCGCAAGCGCATATTGTTGCTATGCTGTTTTAAATTGTTGCTTTGGCTCCTTTTCTCGAGCGTGAATTCCCAGTTACAAGCTATCAGAAATAGTCGTTGATCAAAAAAGGACTTTTCATGATATTGTGGAAAGAGCCTTCAATATCAAGTATGATTTGTGCAGGGAATTAATTTCAAAGCAAATACTAAAAAGCGTCTCATTTGGGATTTTTAACTGATTATTGATTGACCATATCATATTTTTTTTCGGCAGTTGCTCTGTTATTTCCCTGGCATCCCACTTATTATGATGCTTCTTTCTTTCTTTCTTCTTTTTTTTTTCTCTTTTTGCTGATTCCAAGTTGCTTTAGAGACTTGATGCCAAGCTCCCATCTTGCAAGTTTTTCCATAGACAAAAATTTGGCTGGCTTGTCACAACTCATGGCTATTATTGTTGGTGTAGATTATCCTTAATGATCTTTTGATCTAGCATTTTGTTTATTCTTGTCCATCTCTATCTATCCCCATTTTAATTTAAGTAGCTTTGGAAATTTTCTACTGTTTATTGAAGAATGCAATACATTGGCAGAATCATTGCACCAAGTATTTTGATGGTGATTTAAATTATCAAAATCACTTTTATCCTTAGCCCAACTATTTTGGTTTGGTTTTATGGATCCTACAATACGATGCCTTAAATTAACGGTTTGCATTGAATGATTTATCCATCCTCATTGTGATTGGCCGAACTTGTTAGCTCATTCGTGCACATGTCATGATGATTGCAACTCGGTGTTATTCACACTTACACATGCTTGCATCTTGAACCCTCTCTTCTCATTCACACACATTCATGTGGTCACAAGAGCTTGTCTTATGCGTGGCTTTTTTCGACCCTTGAGGCTTACGACTCATGGCATCAATGTCTAGATCATCCTATGCTCAGGCTCAAGCAGGGCATTTGATGTCAGTCCCTCTTGCACATAGGGCCATTGTGTTGCCTTCTACTATTTTTCTTCCTCTCACCTTTGACATCATATTTGCTCACTTTGGTTGATTGAGGATGGTGCCAAGGTTGCCATTCTCGTTTCTGTTTTGGAACCTTTTCCTTATTTGTCATCATTTTTTTTCTTACTCATACACTCTCGTTCTCACTCCCACATTTGCTGCTGCTAGGACTTTGGATGAACCCCTATTTAGGTCACGATCTCCTATCCAAGTGGCACTTTATTTCTCAGAGGTTCGTCCTCCGTCATCTATATTGGATACTAGTCCTCAAACTGCCTACCCTTCTCACTCCTTTGTAAATGTTGGTGGGCTAAATGATTCATGATTTTATTCATCGCCATCTAGCAACTAATTCTCTTTATTTTTCCCATCAAGATAAAATATCACATTCTCACAAGCATTCGTTCACGTATCAAGACAAGCCTGCTCTCATCTTCCAACGAGGAGGTATTATAATTTGCTAGGTTTTTTTTTTTTTTAATTTGCTAGGCTTCTTTGTTCCTCAATTGTTGGCAAATTATCCACAAATTTATGCAGGATTTGCATTTAATTATTAAAAATATTGCAAAAGGATGTGCTTGGAGTATCAAAAGAAAAAAGCTCCTAGTGATAAAAATAGTTGGTGGTGGAATCAAAATATGCAAGAAAGGATAAAAAATAAGAAGATTTATTATAAAAATTAGTTTAGATGTAAAAATTCTTATAATTGAGAAAGTTATAAAGAGGCTCGTAAGGAGTCTAAGAAAGCAATATGCGATGCAAATATTTTAACTTTTAATGATTTATATAATATATTAGATACTAAGGATGACCAAAGATATATGTATAAGTTAGCCAAACATAGAGATAAGAGTAGTAAGGATTTAGTTCAAGTGAAGTGTATTAAGGATGAAGATAAAAAAGTGCTTTTATTAGAAGAGGATATTCAACAAAGGTGGATGAGATATTTTTATAAACTCTTCAATGAGGATTATGAGAATGTGATTGACTTTAGTGACCTTAGCACCCTAAATGAAAATAAAGATTTTTTATTTTTATCAGCGTATTAGTAAAACTAAAGTTAGAGAGGCTTTAAAGAAAATGTTAAGTGTGGAAAAGCTGTTAGACCTGATGATATTCCAATAAAGATGTGAAAATGCTTAAAAGGTGAAGGAATTTCTTGGCTTACTAAATTTTTTAATATTTTTTTGAAGACTAAAAAGATGTCAGGTGACTCAGATGCGGGCGTTCTGAGTGTTGACTATCTAGTGGATATGAGATTTTATTTACTGGAAGAGGCATAAAAAAAATCTATCATCACTTAACTATTTTCATAAGACTTTGGGCAAAGCAGTCCAATTAAGTCTTTTTATAGTTTTCATATTTCTAAGAAATTTATATCCTTGACTATCAATCTATCTCTATCTTGTCTCATGTTTTTTTTTTTCAATTTTTTGTAATTACTTTTGATGCATTCATATCATTTTCTAGTTATAATTTTTTTTCCTTAAAACAAATTCTTTTTGTTTTTTCTTTGATATGACATCCATTTCCATGTATATTCCCATTTGGATGAAAAGTAGCTTTGGAAAATTTCTACTGTTGATTGAAGAATGCAACGTTGTTAGAATCATTGAACCAAAGCTATTTCGATGGTTATTTAAATGGTGATTATCATCATGTTTAGCCTTTGTCTTACTCTTTTGGGTCGGCTTCATTAGATCCCACTACATGATGCATTTGTGCGTTAGATTAGTAATGCCCATTTTCTATTTAAATAAGATTTTCTTCAAGGTAAGCATTTATACTTTAGCTTCCTTCATGGTAAGTTGTTGATGCAGGAGGGTTTTTGGTACCATCATGCAGAGCCAAATTATTTGATGCTTGTGTATTGGATCCCTGCCACTGAACACACAATACCCTCAAATGCTACACATCGAGTGGGTGTTGGTGCTTTTGTTGTAAATGATAGAAAGGAGGTATCTTTTTGAGCCCTCACCTTTCAACGTTGAAGTATATTGTTTCTGATTTTCCATGCCTTCTCATTGGATATTAATTATTAAATTAATCAAATTGCATGTTGTTGCGTCTGTTTGATTTTTCCTTTTCACAAAACATTTGTGTTACTATATATATCATAATATCTTGATTGCTGTTTTTTTTTGTCTGTCTATGAATTTCATTTTCTGACAGATCCTCGTGGTTCAAGAAAAGAGTGGCAAATTACGTGGTTTGGGTTTCTGGAAGATTCCAACAGGAGTAATCAACCAAGTAATTATTCCCTAATAATGATGGAGAAAATTTAGCTTGTCTGAAAAGGGATTATGCTACCTTTCAGCATATACTAAGGCTCCTATCTATGCAGGGTGAAGATTTATTTACTGGTGTTATGAGGGAAGTCAAAGAAGAGACGGGGGTAAGTTTATAATGCATTTGTGTCTGCGCATTGTCATTGTGCAAATCTAAGAAATTGTGGTTTAACTGTTGCAGATTGACACAGAATTTGTTGAAGTGCTTGCTTTCAGGTTTGTTGGTTTACTGAATTCTCTATACTGTCTATCCGAATTTTGATCTATTTATTTGTCCTGAAGAAGAATATTAAACAATTTATATTTATGGCTAACAACAACATCAATAGCAAGCCTTTATCCCACCACATGTGATCGGCTACATGAATCTTTTTCTCCATTATGTCATATTAAGATGCAAATTTTCATTTAAATCTAATAAAAAAAGTCATTTTTAATACTTTCTAACCAAGTCTTTTTAGGTCTATGTCAATCTTTCTGAATATAGACTAAATTTATTACATCTACTCTCCTAATAAGGTCATTAGAAGGCTGACATGTTATGTGACCAAATTATCTAAGGCGACTCTATCTAATCTTATCTGTCATTGGTGCTACACCAACCTTATCACATATATACTTGTTTCAAATTCAATCTCTAAGTGTAAAACTACTCATCCAACTAAGCATCCTCATCTCTACAACACTTAACTTAATTTTATCATTCTCTTTTAATGGTCAACATTATTTTGCGCCATAAAGGATTGTAGGTCTAACCACCGTCTTATAAAATTTCCCCTTAAGTTTGAGGAGCACTTTTCTATCACACAATAGGCCCGATGCATTCATCCATTAATTAATACTTTTTTTTAAAGTCTCTCCAACTTCGGTTTAATTAATACAATGATAAAACAAAAATCTCTAATTTCATTTATGGTACAATGATAAAAACACTTTTCTTTTATTTTCATCCTTGTTGCACTTTCTTCAACTAAATCTTTGCTTTTTCAGTCTCTTTGTTCAACTAACTTATACATATAACTTTCATGCTCCTTAGTTTCTAATTTATCATATAAATTATCAAAAATTAAATTCTTTACATCATATTATTTTTTTTTCTTGGACTCTCTATGGGTCCCTATTTATCTTTTCCAAATTTTTGAACTTTTACATCTAAATTAATATTTTTAACAAGTTAAATGAAAATGCTTTCTGAAGTTTTATCATTTGATCTTGAGTAATAAAGTTTTAAATTCCAATAGATATCTTCATCATCCTCAAACTTATCTCAACTATTTAGGTTCAGGTTATGAATCCTCACTTTCCATTCACAGTATACTTTCTTAGATTTTTTTTTCCTTTTAAATAAAATTTAAACATTTTGCACGCAATCCTAGAAATGAGAATTTTGATCTAATGTAACCCCACATTAGTAATATACTATGGAGCAAAAACCACCTGAGGGACTGGATCACTAATTCCATGGCAAAATCTAGTTCTATTTCCAAGTTTTGACTTTTGAGTACACTCCAGATAAAAAATAGATGGAATTGCAAACATTACATTAGAAGTAGGATTTTATCAGATAAAAATCCCCATTATTATGGTTCTTAGGAGATTTCCTCAATTATGGGTGCGGCCTGGAACATTATGATAAGTTTTTGTTAAACATTTTGGGCAGTTTCTTTATATGTGAAGAAACATGAGATTTGATTGAAAGGCCACCACATATGACCTGGATGGATTGCCGTTGGCAACATCCATATGAAGTGGTTTACTAAAAATTGATCCAAAATAATATAAAATAGATTGGTTTAACTAGTAAATTCAAAGATATGAAAAATATTCCAAATTGGAGTATGAGTCAAAATGAGGAAATTGAATTCTAGTGAATACAAGAAAGAATAAAGGAATTGATCCATTTGTTTTACAAATAGGTCAAAAATCTCTTTGGGGATTCCCTAAAATTTATTTCAAATATTATTTAGGAACCTCTTTCATTGTGTTTATAGGGTTCTTTGGTTAGGTAATTGTTGTGAACTTGAAATCCCAATAATAAGATTGACATGTTTTAAGCAGAATAAAATTTATGACCTGCCAAACTAAAAGGTATGATGCAAAGCAAATGCATAATATTGCTTGATGAAAAGAACTAAAAAATAGAATACATCGATAAAGCCAACAGATAGTAAATGAACCAACAACAAAAGCGAGTAGGCCTAAGAGACCTCATTAAAAAACGCCTAAATTGAAGTCTGGATTACTTCAGAGAATAACAGGATATTTTATTGCTTCTTCTTCCCTTTATGGCAGATAGAATTTGAAATTTTTCGTCCACTAGTTGATCCTATCCCTAGAGTTAATGAATAAAGAGCCTGGATGAACAAAATCCCAAACAGCAAGAAGAACTTCAGATTTAATAAATTTTGATGAGTATGTGTATAGTCATTCTTAATCATTGCAAGCAACCTAGGAAAATATTAAAATTCCCAAGTAGGATCAAAAGTTGATTCATAGTTTTGTGTACAAACATTAGCAGAATTAAGAACTGCCACCATTCCATTAGAAGAACGGTTTTTATAAGCCCCAATGCTACAAATACTAGGAGATTTTCACAGCTTTGGCTGTGCTCTGAAGCATCCTATGAACTTGTGACCAAAAACTTAACAGTAAGAGCAATAAGAAGGAAGGCCTTCAAACTGTATACTCTGCTAGTAGCCACTAGTTGTGAAGTCAATCTAAATTTCTTTCTTTAACGGAGTTGAAACATCTATTTTGACCATTGCTTGAGCCACTCATAGCCTGAATAGCATGTCTGTTGTAGCATCCACCTGAAATGATTTACCAAAAATTAAATTAACAGTGAACATAATGGATTGATTGAAGTATTGAATTTTAAGATGTAAAAAACAACCCAAACTATGGTAATAGGATGTTCAGTAATATGGCCACAATGAGAGGACCACTTGATCATGCATATTGGGAACCATCTGCATAGGATAATGGTATAATCTCTAATCAAACATAGATCGACCACGAATCTGTGAACAGCCTCCATATCAGGACAGTAGGACACCCTTAGAAAACTTATAACTGTGGGAGAAAGAAAAATACTCTGCCAATTTAGAGTTCTCTTCGTCAAACAAAGTGAGAGCTGATTTCTCTTGAAATGATGATGACAACTTCTGCGGATGTGATATTGACCTTGCTGAAAAAATATAGGGAAGCGAGAAGAGTCAAGTAGCGGACCAAGACCCTTATCCCTATCATAGCCTTAGTAAATTATCGAGTGGCGCAAAGAGATTACATACTGGAAAAGATTTAGGATTGGGAGTTGCTATAGGGGAAGCATCACAACGCGGAAGTACTTGAGGAGCAATCAATGGAATGGATGGAGTGGAGATTGAGGAAAGATCCAAAGGTTGAGGAGGCCAAGGAGGCACGCCGGACACGAGGAAAATAGGTGCAATTGATAAGTGACAAGCCAAATCGGAGCAACAAGAAATCCACACCAGGCATAAGGCTGGAGATGGCGTCTGTGCCAACTACCAACACCATGGGGACAACGCCTTGCACCCGTTGAAGTGTGGTCATAATCACAACAAAGAGGGAAAATGTCGTACAAAGGAGGCAAAAGATTGAGATGATTCCAGGCCACAAACCACAAGTGCCTAACATGCATTAACCAGGAATAAGCCTCATGTGAGTTGTGAGAACAATTACCATCCGTGAATGACGATGATGCAAATGATGACAGAGGAGAGGGTATGTTGTGATGCACAAGTGAACACAAAGAAGCTCCTAGTAGTTGCATGGAAGGCGAGCTTAATCGCGAGAAGCTTTCACATGTAAGAGATGCTTACGTAGACAAGAGGAGTCGCAAGGGAGAGCAACAACACATGAAAAAAGGCACACTCTTGGGAGACGTCCACGCAGATGGACGTGGCACGCCATGAGGTCGAGCAAGTGTGCCGCGTCGTGATGACAAGCAGGAGAGCATCTTGTGTAGAAAGATGAACCTCTAATTAATTCATTAAGATTGTAATTTTTTGTTAGAAGCATGAAAGGTTGATTTGGGCATAATTTACAAGTGAGAAATAGAAAGGGTGATTGGCTAGGACATTAACTTCAAGAACGCCCCCACTATGTAGGCAAGGGATGAGTAAGCTTCAAACCAAAATTTGATTTATGACTTGAATTTTAGACTTTGTGTATGTATGTTAGAGAATTGGTGAACATACTAGAAGACAATAAATGTCCACGGAAAGGATAAAAAAATAGAGGAAGATTATAAAGGATATTGTATGTTGGGAAGGGTGATGATAAAAATGTATTAGCTTAAGCAGATGATAGTGAGTTGAAATATAAATTATTATTAAAGTGAATATAACTAAAGATAATGTCTAGCTATTGAGCTATTATTAATGAGAATATTATAAATGTTTTATTTATGCTCTTCAAGTTGGATTCCAAGAAATCTTTACAAATTAATTTTGGGATGAAATAGTTGTGCTGCTATAAGTTATACCTTAAAGATAATTTGTGGTGACCTAAACATATATTTAGGTTCTTGTAGGATGATTGTGAGATCTTTTGAAGTGTGTTATAGAATGAGAGAGTATAAATGAGATAAGTACTTATTGTCATGTTGGATTACAAGAAATCTTTGAAAAACAATTTTCGGAATAAATAGGTCTCTTACAACTTATATTATAAGAAAATTGTAGATTTATTGGAGGTGTCCTAAACAAATATGTAGTTTTTTGTGGGATGGTTGTGAAATCATTCATCTTGTCATCCAATAAGAGATAAAAATGTGAGGTGAAAGTGTATATTTGATTTTGTAGTAGTATGTTCTTTTGCAATTGAAAATACATACTTTAGGAGATCGAAGAGCCCTTGCTTCCTTTCAATGAGTTGCTAATTAGAAAATTAAGTATTTCCTAATGAGTTCTAATAAAAAAATTAGAAGGATTTTTTTTTTTCAATGATGTGATTTACAAGGAATTCATGTCATTATTGTTCGACAAGTTTTACGTTGGTTGTCGACTACCTAACGCAACCCTCCACTTTTCTCATCTAGGACTTGGGACCTGGCAACGGCAGTGTTAATTCCTATTTTGAAGACTAAAAAGATGCCATATGAGTGGAGAATGAGTGTGTTAATTCCTATTTTTAAGAATAAATGTGATGCACAGGATTGTACGAATTGTAGAGGTATTAAGTTAATGTGTCATACTTTAAAACTATGGGAGCGAGTTATGGAGCATAGGTTGCGGCGTGATACTAATGTTTCTCAAAATCAATTTGGATTCATGCCGGGTAGGTCGACTATGGAAGCCATACATTTATTAAGAGGTTTGATGGATAAATATAGAGAAAATAAGGAGGATCTACATATGATATTTATTGATTTAGAAAAAGCATATGATAAAGTTCCAAGAGAAGTGCTATGGAGAGTTCTTGAAAAGAAAGGAGTCAATAATGCTTATATTCAAATCATTCATGTAGCCGACCCCACGTAGTGGGATAAAGGCTTGATGTTGTTGTTGTTGTTGATGTGATTTACAAGGAAAAACCAATATAAATAGTTGTCCTTGAATGAAACGTACATTAAAGGTGAGCAGTTAATTTTTTAAGATAGATGGTTAAGATAGGTAAATTGAAACTTTGAAGTTGAACTAAATGTGATAGTGGCTAAAGTATTAGTTGCATTATAAAAGGTTATCAAGGAAAGGGAATATATTCTTCTTTGCATTTAGCTTTCAAGCTTAGGACTTGTTCTTGACAATATCGACTTCAAATATTCTCATTTGCTTGAATGTTGTTGAATGCATGGCTAACCAAATTTTATCAAATATTCATAATACTTTCTATGGAGCTCTAATTTGCAGGCAGAGCCACCAGTCATTCTTTGAGAAGTCGGATTTATTCTTTTTGTGCATGTTGCGTCCTCTTTCCTTTGTTATTCAGATGCAAGAATCAGAAATTGAGGCAGCCAAGGTATTCAAGCTCATCTTTATTACCGTGGAAACGTACATCTTTAAGTCCATATGTGATACCAATTGAGATTTTATGAGTCATGTGAGATATATATAAAAAAAAGATGAGTCATGTGAGATATTGAAATAGTATAACTTTTGGAATGAAATCTTTGCAACCGACAGGAGTAGGATGTTAGTGATAGGAAACACTTGAAGATTTCAAATAAATCCTATCAATTTCAGAAAAAACAGCGAGAATACTTTTCCAAACTCCAAAGGAAAAATCAGAAAAATAGAAATTTTATTGTGATAATCAAATTAACGGAAGAGAAATAACAAGATACAATTGATCATCTATTTGAGAGGAGGATATGTCTCTCCCAAATCTCTAGACGCCGCTAGAGCCCAAAAGAACACACAAGATCTCAAATTTCAGTCAAATTCATGATGCCCTAACCCTAGGAAAATGAACTATTTAATGCATACATTTCAAAAGGAAATCTCTAAACAGCCCCTACTTTGAAATTTCCCTCCCAGCTCCCTTCAAAAATCTTCCTAAACAGCTCTGAGAAGACCGTGTAGTCGGATCCTGTGTACAGGAGGCGGAGACTTCCGCCATTGTTCGTGTAACCGGTCCCAGCGGGACTGGCTGGACCGGTCTAACAGTTAGATGATTAAACAAAAGATAACTTGATTACAAATATTTTCAGCACAAAGTTGTCTTCAAGATTGTGATAAATATGATGATACCCAACAGAAATCAATGTAAGAATAAAATGAGAAATGATTACATTCTTGCAAACGATATTACTGGTAATACAATGTTATTGATGCCCTGTTTTAAAAGAAGCTTTAATTCAAATTAATGCTAATCTCTCGCATAACCATCTACATTTCCATCCCGTGGAATCATTGAAAAAATTAGCTCAGGATATTCTAACCAAATTTTAGTCAAGGTGGTACTATTAGTCATTCGATTTGCTTTGAAATGAGTATAATACATCGAGATTCAATCAAAATTTATATTGCACTCATTTGAATGTAAAGGAGACAGTTTTGAAACTTGACTAAGGCAACATTTGGGGCGGCTTTCTTTCTGCTTCTTAAAACAGAATTTTAGTATAAAATTTTTAATTTTTATACTAAAAAGTAGTTTTAAAAAACAGGAAGAAAGCCGTCCCAAACGAGGCCTAAAATTTTGTTCTATTCTCAGCATTTTTTATTTCCAAAACTATTGTCGAGGTCTTGGATTATATATAATTCTAATTCAAGTCTAGTTTTTCTCATTTTCCTGAACTTAAGAAGATAGTTCTGATACATTGTTCTTCTTCTTCTCCAGTGGATGCCAATAGAGGAGTATACAGCAGATCCGTTAGTTCAGAAGCACGAGTTTGCAAAGTATATTCTTAATGTTGGTATTGCTAAAGTGGAGAAGCGATATTCAGGATTTTATCCAGTCTGCATTCAATCAGCTTTTGCTGATGAGCAAAGTTACTTTTATGTAAACAGTAGAGACCTGGAGCAGAAATCAAGCTCTGCAAACGAGTCCAATAGCAGTTGAGTTTGTTTTATGTAATTATTTTTCATTATTCTTTGTGATTATCAGGGCTGCTTTGACTTGCATATACCTGCTTGTATATCATATTCTTATATTTTACAGATGACTGTATACTTATTATATGAGACTTCATGCCAATCAAGAATTTTTATTTGCATTGTTGATCTCAACATTTATCTTGTTATGATTTCGTTTGAGACAACTTTCCTACTACTTTCTAAAGCAGCTTTATAGTACAAAAATTTATAGTTCAAAAAATTGTGTACTAAAAACTGCTTTAAGAAGCAGAAAGACAGTTGTTGCAAACGAAGCCAATATTTTTCTTGTTTTTTGGGAAGATTTAGGCTTGTTTTGGGATGATTTCTTGCTGTTTGTTAAAGTAGTTTTTTGGAACAAAATAAAAAATTTTGTACTGGAAAGCTGCTTTAAGAAGCAGTAGGAAACGGCCTCAAACCTAACCTTTGATATATTGTATAAAATTAGTATGTATTTAGAGGTTCACCTTACAATCACAACCTTGATTTGTTCTTTTTGGGGTTTTTCAAAACAATAATTGTATAAGAAGAGTCAAACATGTCTTAGTTTCTTCTCAGAGTGTAAATAAAATAAATTAGAAATAAAAATATACTATGAATAAAAAATATCCCAAATTTTAGTTCAATTGAATAAGATCATAATATTTATAACATTTCATATTTCAATTGTCCATCATGTGTCTCAAGCTGGTGTTTTAATGCTAAAAATGTCAAATTTTGATTACATTCATATTACTATAAAATGTCTAAATCTAATCACTTCATAAAATGTGCTCTTGAAGATTATAAAGATTGAAATTGTTCTGAGCAATAATAAATTTAAACTTTGCTTGAAGTTCCATTGAAAAATGATATAATCTTAATCAACATTGGCTAAAAGTTGTTTGAGCCATATTCTAGCATTGATAAAAAAAAAATTCATACCTTGATTGAAGCATTTTTTTAATCTTGGTCAAATCTTCAAAATACAAACAAGCTTCAAATAAGAATCCAATAATGTTTGATCATGAGCCAAATATAATTTTATCGAGGTTAAAATAAGTTTCAAGAAATGTTTAAAGTTGGTGGTCATGTCTTATGTCCTTTTGGTTTTAAATGTTTAACGTCATTCGACCATAACTTTGTCGGACGTATAATGCCACTAGCCTTCAATGATTATCAAGAGCTAGTTGGAGATGATTTTGTTTCTTTGGAATTTCACCTCATAACCGTTACTTCTGAATGAGAACACTCGAGCAGAAGAAGACACTGAGGAAGGGTCGATCAACTTCTTACTCAAATGGTCACTTATATGCTACTCGAGTCTCAAGCATCTCTTTGAATTATAAGATCTATTTGACCCAAATAAAACTTTCGAGCATATTTCCTCAACGAATGAAATGATATGCATATTTCTCTAAATTTGGACATTAAGGGGCATATAAAGTCAATATTTTCTTAAATATCTTATTAGGGCAACCAATGATTAGAGGAGATTGTTTGCCCAAAATTTGAATTTGAACACATATTTTATGATGTATTTCTATCTCCCTCTCTATATGTGTGTATATTAGACATGCTTGTTGAGGAATCAAATGAGATAAAGCAAGCTTGTCCCTCATGAGGTTTTTTCCCACAGTACACTCTTCTCAACCAGAGGGGATCCACCTCAGAGGCACTAACCTTAGGCGAACTCTCCCAATTGAGGCACTCACATTAGAAGAGCTCACCTTAAATAAGAAAACATACACTTAATAAGTAGGACATGCTCATCCACCTAACAAGCAACTTTAGCAATATAATTAAAATCGTAATCAGAGGCCTCAATCATTGAAGGCATTCATCAAGAGTATCTTAGAGCCATGTTAGAGATAACCATTTATGTGGAAATGTTAGGATCTTATCCATGTAACTATAGCAGTCAAATCATATATTTATTTTTTATTTCTCAGGAGTGACATCTCGTAGCTTTCCTAACCCTAAAATATTTGGTTAATAACTATTTTTTAGGACTTCATGCCAATTTCTATTCACAAAATGAAATAGAGCTTGGGAGCCTTTTCCTCTTACTCAACTAAATCTTTCTTTATTGCTCAAAAATAGCTTAACCAATCATGCAAAAAGGGTTAAGATGATACCCATGTATAATTTCATATCCAACATGGCTTTAAATGCAATTAGTGTGGATTGATGTTGTTGACCAGAAACCAAGTACTAAGAGAAGCGAAGCAATGTGATAGGGAGAGATCAATTAACATGGAGAACCAAGACTTCATGTCAGAACCTGACCCAATATGACCCGATACCACATAGCTTATATTGTGCCCAATCATGATAAGAATCATAAACTAACCTCAAGATCTAATTGGAGAAGTGCTAAGAAAACTTCAAATTTACACACCAATGAGCCACCACTAAATCTAGCAAACTTAGTGTTCTTTTACTCATCTTATGGTCTAGTATTTATGAAAAATACTAAAAATTTCATAATTGAATTTAATTTAAAAAGTCAAAATTAGAACACTTTATTTAATGAATTAAAATAATTCATAAAATCTTAAAAATTCAATGAATGATCAAAACTCCAGCTAACATTAATCTAATCAATCAAATCTGATAACTAACCCCTTAAGACAAAAAAAAAAAATACTCCATTGATGAGGTTTTTAAGATGGATTATCATGAACTGTGGGGTTACATGTCTTAAGGATGCTTGGTTCCTTGAGCCCACTGTGATAATGCCACAAATGAATTCAATAAAGTGCAAAACTATAAAATCAATTGATTATTAATTACTTAACCAAAATTAACTCGCTAATACAACTACATCAACCTAGTTTATAAGATGAATTACATTGAGCTGCGGGGCTACGTGTCTTAAGGAGGCCTAATTTCTCAATCCCATTGTGACAACACCAGGAACCAGTTGATGCCAAATAAAATAATAAATTTAATAAGCCACATTAGCAACCAACTAATTAACTTAAAAATCATCAAACCTTAATTTTAAACTAATTAAATTAATTAAATATTATTAGTTACTATTATGTCAACCTGGACCTATGAGGTTATTAACTTAGCCCAAAGGGATATGAAATAAACTTCACGGCACTAGTGTAAACAAATGCAGTAATTACTCAACACTTAAAAATTAATCATAAAATGAACATTAAAATACTACACTCAAACTCAAATTAAAATACCCTTTGATTTATAACAAAAAAATTAAAATACTAGAAAACTTCAACAACTATCAAACATAAGATATATACAAATCACATAGCCTGATGCACTCAGTACAGATGGTTTGTTAGGATAATCACTTCTAGTTTTAGGCTAGGACAATCTTCTTTTCTTTTCATGCTGCTTGTGTGTAAAGATTTTATGTGGATTTCACCGCAATCTGGTTGTAATGAATTGGTTGATATGATGCTTTATGATGTGTTAATTTTATCATGCTATATATGAATTGATGTGATGGGCATTAAATTAATCCTAGGTTATAAATTATTTGGATGCTTACAAAATTTTATGTATGTGCCCATGCTCATGTAGGGCTAAAATAAAAGGGGCAAATTAAAATTTAACTGACAAATTTTTTACAAGTGCTAAAATTATTAAGCCTCCATTAAATTAAAAGATCATGGATAAGTGTGTTTATGCTCAAATCTAAGCAAATGAAATTATATAACTTCTTAGGATGATTTTGGTGATTTTAATTATAACTGCTTAGGATAATATGCAGGTTGTTTAGATTCTTTTAAATTTTTTATAAGTAATTTTAATTGAATCGAGTTGTGAAAGTTAATTTTAAATGAGATATTACCCATCCAATTTGAAATCCAAAAAGAAGGGAAGCATCTCTTAGGGGAGAGTTTCTTTTATTTGGAGATTCAAATTAGGATGATTTAAAAATTCAAAGAGGAAAAATATACACATTCGGGGAGGAGTTCTTTTCATTTGGATATCCATACTATAGGAATCCAAGGATCTCGCAGAAGAGAGGAAGAGGAAGAAAGGAAGTCCTCAAAATATCCCATTTGAAAATTACTTGCGTTATTCCAAGGACTAGAATTAGGGTTGTCGTTAGTGGTACCTAGACACTTTTAATTTATGCAGACCTTGATTGTAATTAAGTGGCATTTACCAAGTGGACTTTTACACTTATTTAATTTATGTTGATTACATGAATTGATTATTGTGTTTATTTCTGTGTAGTAGGAGTTTCATAATCTTTTTAAATTTTTACTCTTGCATGTAGATTTTTTTTAGCCTGGAAATGGTTAGGCTCTTTAAGGACCAACATTTTTTTACTCATAATTAAATAAAATTTTAGGCTAAAATAGAAAGATAAATAATTTTAAGAAGTAAGCACGGGCTCGTCGAAAGTTTCATGCATTCATATCATACATTCTCCTCCTTATTAGGCACCTCCCCACCTACGAGTTATGGTAGACCAGCTGGCCTATTAGGGTGCAATTCTGTCTAGGGGATGTTGTGCAATCTTTAGAAAAAAATTATTTTTAAGCCTTTTTAAAAATGTTTCATATCATTTATGTATACAAGGTCAATCAACATGCATTACATTAGAAACTAATTAAAGAATTAAAATTTTAATTGCATACGAACATAATCACTCTACATAAGTAAAGATGTCAATTAGGGCATTCACTAAACATCAAACCCAATTTCTTAAAACTTAAACAACATCCCTACCCACCTTTTATAAAAGACACGATTCATGATTTTAAAGTATTAGACGGTTAGCTGGCTCCCCAATTTAGGCCGGGATAAGTTCATATTTGCATCTCATTAGCTAGGTTCATGCCACTATGGTTTAGTGCTCAAAATAGATCTATGATTTAGGGGCGTACGTAAAATCATAAGTCATCAATTTCAGAAATATAATCCCAAAATTATAATAAATTTTTAAATTAAATTAAAATTTTATCTAAACCAATATATAAAGCCTAACACATGTGATAGATTGATGCATTTCTAAATTGTTTCAGAATTCAAAATGCCTCCTATTCCTCCTCTATTGTCCTCCAAAATAACTCCTCAAATTTGCTCCAATCCCTGTTGAAATTCCAACCTCGCTTCCTTTGATAACACTCCTTGAAAATTCTAAATAGAGCTCCTACTATTTTTAATCGAGAGTGTTCATAGAAAACAAAAAATTCCTATAATGTAATTAACTACGAGGATGTACTTTCGTAGGAGATTTAAAGATCCCAGATCATTTTAAAAAAATTAATTAATTCTCTTTGGAAAGATAAAAAAATCAACGATGATCATTATCTTCATATTTAAATGATTAATAATAAACAATATATTCTTTCCTTGGGAAGATATTTCATTTATTATCATAACCTTAAATATGAAATTAATGATATTTCATCCATACTATCACATCCAAATACTCGATCGAATATTATTTTATCCTTTCGGGGTCATATGTAGTTCTTTATTGAATTTGGCTATAATAATCAAGTTGAAGCTTACAGTTTTGTTATATGAACCCATTATATAATGATATTTTTACCTTTTAGGGTAGTATATTGTACATAATGACGTGTTCGACTTCAAAACTAAAATTTCAGAAATAAAATTTCCTAAAGAAAATTGCTTTGCATCTTTTCCAAAGCAAAGTTAAAACTGTGAGTGGAGGTGCTAGAGTCAAATCGAGGTTTCGGGCTAATTAATGGAGGGATGAAGGATGAGCGAGGTTAGCGAACAAAGTGTAAAGTTTTTTTTTTTTAAGTTTCTTATTTTTTATTGCTTAGATTTGCTGAAAGGCAGTCATCGTAGTCAAGTATTGTATATTTTTGCATTCAATTACTTGAGACGGGACCAAATCGGACTCATGAAGAGATACATCTCTTCATTTTTTTTATTTTAAATTAGTCAACAAAGACTAGGTGCAAAATAAATTACAGTTAAAATGTCACCACACTTGATCTTTATAGACCCAAACAAATTACAAAAAAGACGAATGATCCATTGAAGTGCCTCTCTTGAAAGTGGGTGGAAAATGCAATAAGGAGGACAAGGTACTATGTGCAATATCAGTGGGTATTAGCCCATAACATCTGTGGATAGTCAGCACCTTATTATAAAGTGGGAGTTTTAGTCCACTGTAGAATTGATCCAAACAAAAATAAAAATTTTCATTCTTCGACAATTCAAAAACTAGCCCTAAAAAAGAGCCAAACCCACCAATAATCTTGATGTTGAACTCTACCTGCAGTCATTCGATGTCATGCTATTCATTCAACAAAAGACTACGAAAATCAGAACTTATAGAATCCTCAACCCAACAAATGAGATCACACAACATATCACTCAAGATAGAGGTAAGGCAAGTCAATTGAGAAAAAATGATAAACAATGCAAGGAGCAATGAAGAAAAAGTAACCCTTTATTAAAATTTATAATAGGAATCTTGAAAGGAAAAATGTCGTGTGACAAGAAGGTTAGATTAACAATAATACATCACAGATTTATATAGATTTGAAGTGACATCCCCCTCAATGTCCATAAATGCTCACCTCTTCAGAAGTTTTGATTCATGTCTTTCTCATTAATTAAGTTAACATATCAATAATAGGTCATAGCCACAAACAAAAGTGATTAAAATCCTTATAAATAATAGGCACCCACCATCCATAACTAGAGTTGGCCATCTAAAAACTATGTGACGGTGCATAACATGATAATGCAACCACCCTAAAAATTATCAAATGAAGGTGTCTCATAGGTCGAACTAACTTTAAGTTAAGTAACTCTTCATGAATATCTAAAATTTTATTTTTAACACTCCAAGAATTGTCTCCTTTTGGCAAGCCCATAGAACAAGATGAAAATGTAAGTTACAGGGCTTTCCTAAATTAGAAGTTGAATTCTCTTAACTCAGGCGAGCGTAAAGATTAATGCTAAAAAATTTTAGCCTAAGAGTATGCCCCATAATATATAAAAACTAGACCAACATGAGTACAAGGATCACATTATAATATCAACTTAAGGTTAAGTTAAAGTGACGTGAGATTACTTCAGATGACTCAGTTAGAAGAGTAGATATATTAGATTTAATCTATATTAAGAAAGGTAAAATTTGACCTAAAAAGACTTAGAAAATGTTAGAAATGACCTTTCACTGTCAGATCTAAATGAGAATTTGACTCTTAATTAGACACAATAAAGAAAAAAAATATTTATGTAGCTGATATAATGTGTAATTGGATAAAAATTTGATGATATTGTTCAATGGTTTAATTAGTAATAAAATTACCACTACAGCCACTGTATCCACCAAAAGGAATCGGAAACGACACGCGTCGATGGGTTCGGCGTCGGTAAATGTGATAAAGCGTTACTCAAGTGCTCTTTCTGAAAATGTTAGAACCCTCGAAATCCAAATGCGAACGGCGAACGATCGACTGTGACGCGAGGTTCGATTTCTTCTCCTTCCTTTCCTTATTCATCTTCTCTCCTAACTTCACCGTGTTTTTTTGTCCCCTATATTCTCCGATTAAGGCGATATGGCTAAACTCGAGCCACGGCTTTATTTCTTGTCCAGGTATGCTCTTCATTCGGTAGGCTGTAAATCTGCTTGCATATTTCCAGCATTCTTATTGTTTGACATCGGGTTAATTTAGCTTAAAGGACTTCTTGGTATATTATTTTAGGGTTTAGTCATCCTTTATGGGCTGTTTGGCTGCTAGTAAGGTTTAACTCAAGTAGGATTTGGTAAATCTAGTAAATCCCGTGCTTGTTCAATTCTGAAAAATGTTTGGCATGACAGAGGTTAAATCTTGATGAATTGTTGGCTACTTATTTGAGTATGGTAGTTCAAATAACATTTTAATAATAGTTATTGATGATTAAATTAAAATATGTTTCACAACTATAACAATGAGAAGTCAGGAGCAAGGTTGTTGAACAACGAGGCCGTCTAAACAGCTAAGAACAAAAAATAGTTAGACACCACTATTCTTTCATTCTCTAAAAAATATGAAGTAAATGATCAATATTAGCATAAATGATGTTCCAATTAATTATTAATTAATAAATTATTGAATTAATTTAATATAATATTCATATCTAAGATGATAGAATTATTAGAGATAAAAAAAAGAGACGAGATCCAATGAGTATCTCAAAGTCAGACCCTTTGTTAATATACATTGAATTTTAAATCAGATATAACTAGTTTAATATAAGTTTTAATGAAGAAGGATATGAAGAAATAAGGAAACTTGTATTTGTGACCTCATTCTTTTCCTCAAATTTAATACTTGAATTAAAATAAAAAAAAGATTTCAAAGTCTTCGAGAAAAGAAAGAAAATCAGCGAGTGAAAGCATACTTAACCAATATGCAAACTTGTTAGGGGAAAAAGAAGCTTGCGAGGTGGGGGGATTAAGTGATGCCACTCATCTTTCTCCTAGATCAAGGTTATAAAGGAGCAAAGAAGTCAAAAGGAGCTCACTAGTGAAGAAGGTAACCTTTGGATTTAGTAAATATGAGATTTAGGTCGAAATAGAAGTAAAACGGGATTTGAAAATCATCAGGATTTAAGTTTGCATTTTTTTATTGTTGGGTAGGAGTTATGGTAGATCCATCATAAATGTTGCTCAAATCCAACCACCAAATAGTCCCTTAGCTTAAATATTGCCAAATATTTTCTTGGAAGATTTTAATCATGATATTTTGATAAGTACCATTTTAGGCCTATTATTTGTTAAATCATACCACTCATAGGTTTTAATAGATTAAAAAATTTCTCCATCTCAGAAATCTTAAATTTGTAAACAAATACGCCAACTTTGTATAATGATTTAGCAATATTTAACAATTATCTTGCCAATATTTTTCAAATTTAAATCCCCCCCAAAATTTATTAATTTTAGATTTATTGAAACTACTAAATCCTACTTGAGTTAAATTCTATTTGTAGCCAAAGGACACTTTGCTGAGTCATGTCAAATTGATTGATTATTTATTTCAATATTTAATATTTATGAATTATGAGATATAAAAAAATTTAATCATTTAAACCATGTGAATGGTAGGATTTAACAAAATTTGGATTTAATTAATGATGAGGCCAAAATGGGGTTATCAAAATAGTGGGGTTTACTCTTCTAAAATTATATATTTAGTTTAAATCTTACCCATAATAAGATAGGAAGGATTCCCTAAGGGTGGAGTGCACGAGTAATAAAACTTTTGTTTGGGAAGTAATAAAATAAACTGCCATTTGTTTAGATAATAGTTAGTAGGCTTGGAATGAGAACTTGATGATTTTTCTTATGAACATGTAATGTTATGTTCTCGCTCTAATGTTTTTGGGCATGATTGTGAATGCAAGGCTACTATGTAGGAGGATATAGTAGATTTTCCTTGCACACCTTTTACCCTTATCAGGATATTTAAATGACTAAAAGTTAAAGTAGCCAAAACTGATTTTGAACGTAAATGTTGCTACAAGTGATCTCTTTTTTAGTTTAACCTTAGTGATTTAAATAATTTGATGGGGGCCCAAGAACCTGCTAGGAGAATGGGCTCTACAATCAATCATATAACCTATGCAATAATTACTTAATTTGAATTTTGCTATTGCTATAACATCAATGAAGCACTGTCATTCAACCTAAGTTTGCAATGTCGTCATCCTGATATTTTCCAATGTGGACTAAGGCATTCTCATTAGGAGATGAGAATTCTCCACATGGGGAAAATTGATGTAGGCAAAACTTGCCTATTTGTTTTCCTCATGTTGTCCGTTCCCCTTCCTTGCTATTTCTTATGTATTAATGGTTCCAAAAGGAGTGTTGACTGCTGGTTTCCTGCTTGTTTCCTAGGAAGATTTATGGCTGTTGTTTTTCCCATGCTGTTCGTTCCCTTCCCTTTTTATTTCCTATGTATTGATGGCTCCAAAAGGAGAGGTGACTGTTGGTTTCCTAGGCATATTTATGGTTGTTGTTTTCCCCATGCTGTTCGTTCCCCTCCCTTGCTATTTCCAATGTATTGATGGCTCCAAAAGGAACGGTGACAACTAGTTTCTTGCTGGTTTCCTAGGCAGATTTATGGCTGTTCTTTCTCTATTTTTACCTATATATGGGGGTTGTTTTGCTGCAAAAAAAAGAGAGTTATGTGATAATTTTTGGAGCATGAAACCTACGGGTTTGTGTTAGCTTGCGAGCTTACTTATTTTCCTTCTCTCTTATAATTCATCTCGGTTTCCTATCTCTTTATTCTCTCCACGGTTTTCCCTACCAGCTGTATCATTCTTCTCAAAACTTTTTGATGCAATCAATTATTTGGGAGAGGGACCCAAATTTTTGATCACAAATAAAAAACACTTCCTATATAAAAGAAACTCACTAAAATACCCAAAAGGATACAAAATACGACAATTGAACCAAAACAACTTTATATTAGAAAATAAAATGACTTACAAACTTTTAAAATTATAACGACTTACAAACTTGACTCAATCACTTGACGACACCCTAAAGTTGCTTCACTTAGAGACGAAAGATATAGATGGAATGATCACCATGGAGAGAAGAAAGAGATTATAAGCCAAGACGAAGGTTGGAAAGAGCTCGCAAGATTTCCATAGAAGTAGAAGAAGAAATGGAACAAAGCTCTCAAGCTTTTTCCAATAAAAAACCTCTCAGGTTTTCTCTCCAAAAATCATAATCATCACTACTCTAAAACAGCCACAAAACTTCCTCTATATATAGGCATAAAAGAGGAATACAAACAGCCATTATAACCACTAATTAGTTCAATAAAAAGGGGTAAATGAAAAGGCAAAATTAAGTACATATTTCTGTACAGAAATATGTCCCAAAATAGCCCCAAAAACCCTTCAAATACTCAAATAAATGAGGGAATGAAAGGTCAACAGGCACTATACCGAAATCCCAAAAGGCACAGCAAAAAACAGGGAATAAAGCCATGGTTTCAAGCAAATACATCACGGATTCCAGCAGCCAAGCACAGGGACCAAGCAGCCATATTTATTTCGGTAAAAAGGGGGACCACGGGCAATAAATTTAAGAGCAAATCAAAGGGACAGCAGCATTCCGTGGGAGGAAAACCAGCAGGAAAACTGCAACAGGCCAAAGGTACAGGGAATTAAGGTAATTCAAGAGACAAAAGGGAGAGGAAAGGGTAGGGAAATGTTTGGAAAAAGTGGGGGAAGAACAAAAGTCAAATTTAAGAAATAATGAGCTAATTTTTAGTTCAATAAATGAACTAAAAATCAGCTCATAATGAGCTAAAATTCCACTTTACATTAATGAGCTAGAGAAGTCAAAAATCAAATATTAGGATTTGATTTGACCCCCCC